GATGATAATGATGATGTATAGTGTCAATAAAAGAACAGTTAACTGATGAATGGGAGTGAAAAAATTTTTGGAGTAAGCTAATTGATATTTACATTGTACATGAAACTAAATACCACTTCTGATTGTTGTACTTTTTTTCAAAGAAAAAGGAGGGATGTAACTGATGAGACATCATTTTAAAGGTAGGTTTGAAAAATGTGACAACAGGTGACAAGGGGAAGTTAAAATTCACCATTGTCAGAAATTGGAGGCAATGTGCTTCACGATAATTACTTGTCTTGAGATCCTGCAATAGAGTTTACTTTCCATATTTAAATTTTTTTTCAATCTAACTTTTAAGCATATGTAAGTTTCATATATAATGAAGTAAATAACACACTATTAACTATTCTAGTATTCCTGCATATACTTTATTTGTATTTTAACATGCTCTGATTAGATGTGATAAGATATTAGCTTTTATTCAATATAGGATTTTGAATAAAAGCAAACTTGTAATATTAATAGTAAACTAGCATTCCTTTTATATTTAAGCACTTGCATTAATAAAAGTAATAACTTTACTTAATCCTAAACAAATGTGTTTTGATAAAGTGAATTTTCATATTCAGATTACACTTATTTTAGCTATTATACATTTAAAAATATGTTACTTAAAATATTTACCTGATTTGGCTTATCAAAATAGACATTTTTTCTTTTATATAATATAATTTTGACATTGTTGTGGCTAATGCTTGTCTTTCTGTTGCAAGTGTCATCTCAATTAATTTTCTTAAATCTTTTTCTTGATTTAATTGAGAAGTTAGCTAAGATTTACAAATAAATAATAAATTAATATAAACATTTTAAAATAATTTATTAAGTAATTACATTTATATATTATAATTTTCATATAAAAAACATTTTCATCAATTTGAATAATATAATTCTAACAGCCTGCTATTTATATAATATTGATCAAACTGTTATGCATCATAAATACTGACCAGATAATAAATTATTAAATTAAAAATAAAAACTTATATATCAGAAGGCATTCTATAAAAATTATACAATGTTTATAGCCTATTACAAAAAAATTATAACTAAAAATTTAATAATAATAAAAATAGTTAAATTTGTTGTTTTTGTTTTTATTATAAAAATTTTCAAGAACTTATAGACCAAACAGTACAAGAATGTTAATTATAAGATAAGTAAAATACAGATTTTGACACTTATTATGCTCAGAATATAATAATGTTTTTACATATAAATTAAATGTTACAGATGAAATTAAAAACAGATTGGACATATCTATTATATTCTAAACATTTTATTGATACTTTCCCAGCTGTTATATAAAACAGAGGGAAAGTATGACATTTGGTCAAAAATGGCCACCCAAGGTCCTGAGTCCAAAAGAGTAATGGACTCAGGACCTTGAAACATTGAGAAATACAAGGGAATTGGGATTTTTCTTGTATGTTAGGTATGGGGCACAATTTTGTTCACCCAATTTGAAGCTTAATAATTCCTGTGTCTTTTGTCAAAAATTTCTAAAATTTTGCAGGGTGGATTCTATATTAGGGGATGGATGCTATTAAATTTTGGTGATTAAAGGTTGACAAGGTGGGAAGATAAAGAGGATTGTGTGTCATATCTCAAGTAAGGTCTGACTTAATGATAATTTTACTCATTATTAGCATTTACAATTTTTTATAAAACCCATACCTACCCTCAAAATTAAATTTTGCCATTTTATAGGTTTGAAGGTAGGTTTTTATTGATTTTATTAAAAAGAACTTTTTAAAAATATAAAAAGTTCTTTTTAATAAAATATCATAACAGATGGCACCATCAAATGTTGCCAGAAAAGATGATCTACTCATTATGGATTTTTTTAACAATATTTTTTAAAAGAAGATATATAGATTTATTGTATTAAATTTTCTATATAAATAAAAATATATCATTTAAATTCATATAAGAAAGAACTACACAAAAATAATAGTATTTGATTAAAATTTTTTTTGTGCATTCAAATATACAGTAATGACATTTATAATATTAAAAACTAACTTTAGTTTTATAAAAAGCTTGAAAGAGTATATAAAATATAATGTGTAGCAACAATTTTGGCATATTTTTCTTAAAGATAGCTGATAAGCTAGATTAATATTTATATTCTTTGAATAGATTCAATGAAAAGTAACATAACAGGTATTCATTTAAAAATTTATTTAAAAATATATTTTAATATGGATTCATAAATAGATACTTT